GGGGGGGGGGGGGGGGGGGGGGGTATTCCACTGAACTTTTTGTGAATTTCATCATCGAAAATTCAAAACTTCATGGAAAAACAATGGAAATTGTAAATTTTAGTTCAAAGTTATTGGGATATGGGTAAAAGTGGATAAATAAATGTAGTAACGCAATGAATACTTTTAACTTGAACTCTTTATTATTGGCACGAGGAAGGCACGACTGTACTAGAGGACCGTTGTCCAGAGACTAAATTCTAACTATTTGAAAAACCTTTACTGAGGGAAAAGCAAGACAAAGTTTATGACTCCAGAGGACAGAGTTTCCTTTGAATTTCTACATGTGGTAAGGATTGCAACGCTCTCGAGTTCGGAGCACAACGGATCATAAATTAGTCCTTTTCTGGGGACTTTCCCCAACACGTCATAAACCTTGTCGAGTGATTTTTGAAGAAAAACAGAAGAGCTGTGTTCGAATATTCCAACAAAAGTATTTCCCGAAAATTAACAGAAATCGGGAGATTCCGGTGAATATTCTCTTGAATTTTTTAAAAATGTAATTGTCCCCTGTCGAATATTCTCCTTTCAGCTTAATTTTTTTACTGTTCGAAAGCCGGGAAAATCGGCTGGGGTGCATGATCCCGACACCTTTATGGGCGACAAAACCTTCTGTTCATTTTTCGAATTCTGTGTGTACAGGAGATATATCGCCCATTCAATTCAGCTACTGGACACATAGTTTTGGGGAAAAACTGTCGATTTGTGTGGCTAACGGATTCGTTGCAGCTTGCCTAGTTGTTTTGCAAATAGCCGACGTATTTCGAGGGTCATCTGTGGAGGCGAAGCGAGACGAATTGTCATATTCAATTCGGAAATGTCTTGGGTAAACAGTGGATGTTTAGGGCAACCCTTTGGTGAATACTCTTGCGTAATTTTGTGAAATATTTTTGTTCCATTTCTGGGATCATTCACTCCTGTTATGATAGATCTGGGGGACTACTCGAGTGCCTGACGTTTTGTGTTTATTATTGTAACACTTGAGGCGGGTTACACCGGTTCTACTGCTCTTGTTATGGAAATTTTTCGATGAGTAGATGGATAGAGTGAGAAATATTTTTTTTTCGAGAGGGAATAGAATTATTCATCAACATTAGTTTTTAATCGCGTTATAAAATTCAATGTCAATTAGTTTTTCATGTCAATCTTTAATTAATCATTAATTTTTTAATTTTTTATCAATTTGTTACTGAATAATATTTATTTAATTATTTTTATAGTTGCTGTTTTGAAGTCGTTTGAAAAAAATAATAATAATCATTTGTGGAAAATCATTTGTGAAGTGTGACAAACTTGTAATCCCTAGGATTACCGCTCCACTCCGAAATTTCAAACGATCTCGACAATTTGTGATACATCTGTCCGCGATTTCATTCACAAAAGGCATAAAACTCGGGCACGTGCCTCGGCACGTGTGACCACTGATTTCAATTATCATTCCTGCAAAGTGGATGAAACCCCGGGTGAAGGAATTAATCTCAGAACAAAAAGAGGGAAATACGTCTTTTAAAATAATTTTATTGTTAAAGTTCCATTCTCTGTACAATAGACAAAATACTTCTCAGAACGATATCATCATAAGAGCACAGTTTTGCAGGCATCAATTACACACTAGTTATCCTAGAGTTTCAACCCGACGGGTTGCACTTTGCCATTAAACCCAAAATCTTAAAACATTGAGATCTGTTGATAATTGTTCACTCTGACTAGAAAACTTTGAGAGCAGTCTAAAGATTCCTGTTGATTGTTCCTTTTCTCCATCAGTCTGTCCAAGATTTACAGACTAGTAATAAAAATATTCTCTTACAAAGTAGTTAACGATATTTTAATTAGTTTAGTACTTTACAATCCACTGGTAGAAGAGAATTTTCCCTGCATCAATTAATGATTCATCAGCTGTATCAAGAACTAGTGCATTAGCTCCGACTTTTCTCCACACTGACAGAAGAATTCGGTTAATGTTACCTAAGGAATTCAGTTGAATCTTTTTTTCTGATCCGCCTGTATTAAATACATATTCGTTGGAGTTAACTATAAATCTTGTTGACTCAATAAAATCTAATTTCCTGCAGAGTTGTAAGAACACAACGGTTTTGTTGACGCAAGTGAGCATTCGGTAATAGTTACCGAATCTCGACTGATGGAACACGCCATCTAGTTCATATCGACAGATCAAGATCATCGTCTATAACGGTTTTCATTTACATGTCGCAGAGACGCCGATCACATCATATCCGATTACTATTTTTATCAGAATAAAGTGAATTTTAAGGTAAATTCATAAAAAAATGAAGGATTTATTAACGTGTTTTGGTTTGATTGTTCTGTGTGGATTATTTTTCAAAAGCCATAACCTTGAAGAATGTGTTTCATGCGCTGGACTTTAATCCTTCTAAACAGCTCGTGCCTCGGTACGACACTATATACTCTACGTTTATTTTTAATATTATTAAAAATGGTGTTCACTATCAAATCATAATTAATCATGAACGAACAAGCCATTCACATCGATTGACCATTCAGTAACTATTACCGAACAGTTCATTCGGATGAACCCGCCCCCGCTCAACCGAATCGTTCGATAACTATTAACGAATTCAGTCGTTCTAATTCAACAGCGTCATTCGGTGCCAGTTACCGACCCTCGTTAACATCAACTGAATTCTCCTATCAGTGCATCAGTTCCTGAAATAAAAATTCTCTCGAACCACTTTACAACCGTGAAACCCCCCATTAAATCGAATATTTGGTTGAAGATTGAAATAGTCCTTCCAACAAAATGCACACGCACGCTTTCACTCAATTTATCCACCGCATCTCAGAGGCACTGATACATGTTGTTATGGTGAGCCATTAGGTGGGGTTGGCTCATCTGGTGCTGGCCATGGGGGTTGTACATCCTTTGGTCATAGCAAGCCTGATACTGGATGGGTGGGCTGATACTTTGGTCACTGTAGCAATCGTACTCCTGCCATTCTGGCATAAAACGCTCCTGGGGGTAGGGGTAGCTGTTGTGGACCGGCCCAAGACGCTTCTGAGCCGCCACAGCACAACTTCCCGTCGACGACGTTATCATGTTGCCGTTCTCGCTTATGCTCACTGTGACGTTACCCACGTTCACCGTTATCTCGCCCGCCTCGGTGTTCCCCAGGGTCTGCGAGAGCGCCCAGATGTAGTTGTGCGCGAATCGAAGGGTCTCGATCTTCGTGAGTTTTGTGTCCTCGGGAAATGTCGGCAGGGCCATTCGCAGACGCTCCAGGGCGTCGTTCAGCGTGTGCATTCGGTGACGCTCGCGGTCGTTTGCCTTCATTCGGCGATTGCGCTTCAGTTTGAGAACCTGGAGTTGAACAATTTGATAATAGGAAACATACGTTTTTTTTTTTTTTTTTTTTTTTTTTTTTTTTTTTTTT